TGGCTTCACTGAGTTACGCAAGCCCCTTCGCCACAACAAGGCAGTGATCCATGAAGGGGACCTTGCTAAATACATTGCTGAATTCAAGGTATATTATATCCAAAGCATTCCCATAATACCTAAGGAAGTTACCCAGCCAAAATGACATAAGCTCAGTTTGACAAGAGATATTCTTATAGTAATCACTGCAGTATTTTTCACATTTTTTACTGATTTCACAGATTGATCATGTTATGATCTACTCTAGAATATTCCCAGACATTAATGTCAGAATAATTCTGTAATTCTCTGAGGTTTCTTTTTTCCCTTAATAAAGTTTGGGACATTAGCCTTCTTTTAGTCATTGGTACCTCAACCTATTTTGCAGATGTCTTAAAGATAATGAACAGAATTCCAGTCAGATCATAAGCAAGTTCCTTCAGTAGCCTAAAAGTTAATCCATCTGGCTCTGGAGATCTAAATTCATTCAAATTCAGCAGATAATACTATGTTGTTACCAAGCTTCAGCTGGAATGTTCTTTGCTACTATCAAGTGCAACACCTAGTCCTTTATAGAGAAATCTGCGAAACTAAGAGTTGAGTAATTCTGCCTTTTCATTGTTATTAGTCACACTTTTTGTGGTATCAGTAGAAGAGAATATATATAGCTTATGGGTGCCCTTTGGGTTCTTGGTGCTATCTAAGCTTGGCTGCAGATGTTTCATTACTAGGCTAAGTAACATCAGTGCAGTGGAAGGTGGGATTTGTTGGCTATTTATATATAGTAGCTTGCCCTACCAGTTCTGGTGGGGTTGTGGCTTTCTCCTTGGTGGTCCCTTGATTAGCGTATTGCTTCTTCTCTAATGGCTTATATGATATATTGCTTCTCCCTCTCCCTTTTTATTAGAAGATATCTGAAGAAGCACTTTTTGCTGTTCTTGCCATCTTTTGCTAAAGATTCTGAGCTTTAGTTTTCCTGGCAACATCTCCTGAATTCTGGGTTACCTGTATCTACTCTTCCTTGGTAATTTGACTCTCCTTCCTCCTCTAGAGTTGCTTGTTTAGAAGAGCATGAACACCAACTAGCAGTCAGAAGACATGATGAAGGCTCCTTAATCTCACAACACATGAACAGACTTAACCATAGTTTCAACTGGGAAACCGTCAGCATCTTAGACCAAGCTAAATCCAAAAATGCAAGGGAATTCCTGGAAGCTTGGTATTCAGACAAGGTAGCCATCAATGGGCACATAGAGATAAACAACATCTGCACGCTATTCAAAAGAGACAATAAAGGAAAACAAAAGACCAGAACATCTCCTTACCAGCAATCATCACCCAGATAAGCAGAGATTAACACCAAGATTATCACCAGACATACAATAAACAATACTCTAATTAAGGAACTACCAGAGAAAAAAGAAAACAAAACCCCCACCCCCACCAACACTGGCAGGGCATGCCACTGTATATAAACAGAGAGCAAAACCCAATCCACTCTAGCACTGCAGAAGTTACCTAGCTAGGTAA